TGTATATAAAGCAATCAAACGTTTTGGGAGTAGAATTCTTTATCCTTTCCTCTGAGTTAACTAGTTGAATTAAGAAATCTAAAGATACTTACGTTAGCAACCCTAATCTCAACTAAATCTAGAAAAAGAAAGGAAGAAGTAATTGGATAAGGGTCCGAGTTCCGAGTTTGAGGCATGGAGGCCACCGATCACACAAAGTACTCCCGTCTTCATCAGCATCATCTCAACTCACCTCAGGAGTCCGAGCATAGATAGTAACCCCTTACCATGCCAACCTGTGGGCCCTACGCTCCACTACCAATCCCATTAGTGATGAGGATAATAAATGACGATAAGACTCACGCATACATCAGTTATCCCGGACGATACCTCACACCTCAAACGACTCGACGGAACCCGGTCAAACGAACCAGAACGCGGACCGAGGCCCATTAACGACCAGTTCAGACTCTGTTCTTCACGCCACGCCAACACCAGTGTCAGACGCAACCCACTCCCTGCAAGCGGTCGCATCGGATACGGTAAATCGCCCTATAAAAACCCCACCCCTGAGAAGGGTGAGGGAGGGGGGGGGGAGAAGAACCACTCCGCTCCATATCACTAACTTGATCGTCAGAGGGGTTAGGCCGAGCTTCCGACCCGACCTGTGTGCAGGTAAGGAGACGAAGCTATTTCCTCGGGACGCAAGGAGAGGACGTCTTTCCCCCGAGACATCCCGACGAACCCAGACGTGATCTGGCCCGCGCGGTCGGTCACTTCGGCAACCCCGAGAGACCTCGAGCAAAGATCCCCGCCATTCAGCCCCGAACCAAGCCGCGTCGGCCCCGAGACACGGCACAAAGTTGTTTACACCAACAATTAGCTACAACATTAATTACAATTAAAATTAAACGAATAATTCAGGATCGCACCGTATGCCATTCAAAACAAGAGGTTGTTGCTTCACCGTACGTTCGGTTCATTTCGGTTTTGATTCCGAACCGTTGCCTGATTTGGGTTCGATTTGGAACCGCTGGCTCGTTGATCGATTCCAAGTCTAGTTTTGAATGGTTCGTTTCCGGTTTGGTTTGCCACCGACGGCGGTTTAGCCTTATCGATGGAAAGTAAATTAGGCACTCACGATTGTCATCCGATGTAGCAGCATCGCACGAGATTGCGAGTTTTGATGTGATGTCTCCCGTCTTTTTGGTCTCAATGTGCCAGCTGCCATGCTTATTGGAGAAACGAGAAACGTCACATCGCACCAAATACGAATCGCACTTGACACGAGGTTTGATCGGATCGACAGGTGGAGAACGACAGCCACTCATCAAAGTACGTTTTGGGCTTCATCATAAGTGAGGAGGAGTTGGCCTGATTTAGGCCCATCATTAATTAATATAATCTGATCGAGCAAAATTATGTAGTTGACTAGGTCAACATTGTCGACCTGGAAACCGTTGACGTTTGTGTTCTGCTTCCCGCTCCCTATTCTTAGTCAATCTTCCCGTTCCACCGACCCTTGTCTCTTCCTCTCTAATTTCCCCCCCATGTCCGAAGAAGAGAAAAAGAAGGAAACAGCGGCCTCCATCCCGGCTCAGCCCATGGCCGCTGCCTTGGCCCTCCTTTTCCACCACCACCGTTGCCACCCCCGGCACCGCCTCCTCCTCCTCCTACTGCTAGTGCCTGTCTACTCTGCTCCGGAGCTGGCCCCTTTGTCGGACACCAACGCCCTCCTACTCCTCAAGGACTCCTTCACGAACGCCACCGCGTTGTCGTCATGGACGCCCACCAACTCCAACCCCTGCAATCCGAGTTCCCCCTGGCGAGGCGTCCTCTGCCTCCACGACATCGTCACCGCCCTCCACCTCTCCGAAATGGGCCTCTCTGGGAGCATCAACGTCGACGCGCTCTCCCGCTTCACGGGGCTTCGAATAGTAAACTTCGCCAACAACTCCTTCTCCGGCCCCATTCCTCCACTCGGCCGCCTTCATGCGCTCAAGGCCATCTACCTGTCCCGGAACCACTTCTCCGACGCCATCCCCACCGACTTCTTCGACGGCATGACTCGTCTCAAGAAGCTGTGGCTCAACGACAACGCCTTCACCGGCCTCATCCCCTACTCCCTGTCGAAGGCCACCGCCCTCTTGGAGCTGCGCCTGGAGGACAACCATTTCTCCGGTTCCATACCCGCTCTGATCTTGCCGTCCCTCTCCTCCCTCAACCTGTCGAATAATCACCTCGAGGGGGCGATCCCCGACGTCTATTCCAGTTTCAACGCCAGCTCGTTCCTGGGCAACAAAGATTTGTGCGGCGAGCAGCTTGACAGCCAGTCATGCAAAACAATGACACATATGGGAAACGACAAGGTGTTGGTTCTGTGCTTCGTCACCGTCGTCCTCGTGTGCTTGGCTATGTATATATTCACAAAACGAGAGAGGAGTGGAGAAAGTGCGCTTGACACGGTACAGAGTCAAAGAAAGTTGGAGACGGGGGCGACGTCCCCCGGTTCGCCCCACGAGGAATACCAGAGAGCGTTTAGCAGCCGGCCCAAGGGTGGATCCATCAACGGGTACGGAAGAATGGAGTCGTCGAGGAAACCGGTCGGGAATGGAAGGGAGGGTGGCAGCGGCGGCGGGGGCGACGGCGGAGACGGAGGAGGCGGAGGAGGGGGAGGGGGAGGGGCCGCGGATCTGGTGATGGTGAACGATAGGAAAGGCGCGTTCGGGTTGCCGGACCTGATGAAGGCCGCGGCCGAGGTGATGGGGAGCGGCGGGCTGGGCTCCGCGTACAAGGCGGTGATGGCCAACGGGGTGGCCGTGGTGGTGAAGCGGATACGCGACATGAACCGGGTGGGGAAGGAGGCGTTCGACGCCGAGATGCGCCGGCTCGGGTGCTTCGTCCACCCCAACCTGCTTCCCCCGCTAGCCTACCATTACCGGAAGGATGAGAAGCTGCTGGTGTACGAATACATCCCTAAAGGCAGCTTAATGTACGTCCTCCACGGTGAGATGCTCTTCTTATATATACCTCTCGCGATCACTACATATCAATCTATCACGACACGAGTCACACTGGCTTAAACCCGTATGTTTCGAACCGGTTTGCAGGTGATCGCGGGCTCGATTACTCGTCTTTGGACTGGCCGACGCGACTAAAGATCGCACGAGGAGTAGCCCGCGGCCTCGCCTACCTCCACGCCGAGCAGCCCCCCGTCGAGGCGCCCCACGGCAACCTCAAGTCCAGCAACGTGCTCCTTGCGCCCGACTTCGAACCCCTCCTCGTCGACTACGGCTTCCTCCCCTTGGTCAACCCCGCGCAGGCACCCACCACCATGCAGGCCCACCGGTCCCCCGAAGCCCTGGCCGACCGCCCCGTGGATCCCCGTTCCGACGTCTACTGCCTCGGCGTCATCCTCCTCGAGCTCCTCACCGGCAAGTTCCCGTCGCAGTACCTCGACAGCGCCGAGGGCGGCACCGACGTCGTCCACTGGGCGACGTACGCGATCGGCGAGGGACGGGAGGCCGAGATCCTGGGCCCCGCCCTCGTGGCCGGCGCCCAGTCGTCGATGCCTGACATGAAGCGGCTGCTCCGGGTCGCGGTGGATTGTACCGATCCGGAGCCCGACCGGCGGATCGAGCTGCGGGAGGCCGTCGAGAGGATCGAGGAGGTCGCCGCCGAGGTTGAGACGGCCGCGCCGGGGGAGCGGTCGGGACGTCGGGTCGGGAGCATCGGCGAGGCGTCGGAGCGGCGGAGCGACAATAGCTTCTCGTCCGCCATGTCGTGACCGTGGGATGTCAATCGTACGACTGAGATAGCCCGCCACAGTAGCTCGCGCCTTGTTTGGCGTTCGAACGCTTCGTATTAGTGTATAAATTCGTTTTGGAAGCTAATAACAGGAGAATAATTAGGGTTTTCTTCTCTTTCTTGGAATGATTTTAATTTGCAATAGCTTTAATGACTGACTCTTATTTCCTGATTCTCGTGTTTCGATTCTTTAATGATTAGTGTAAGTTATGCTGATATTAAAATTTGGTTACGTGATATAATGATTCATAATAAATAATTAATATAATAATATATATAATTTATTTTTTAAAAAAATTAAAACTTCAATCAATAACAAGAGTAAGCGTTGTCGTGGAAACGACCAGAAGCAGCAACACTAAGCTATTGCTACTTAGTAGTGCGTCATATGTATATAGCCTCCCCTATGCTGACGATGAGCCAAGAGCTTTCAATCTTACTTTTGGTGAATGTGCATCGATTAATTTAATGCTAGGCACGTAGTGGTCTCCTAGTCTCTCTTCCTTCTCTTAAACATTGTCATCCTCAATGCCTCCCACTCCATCTTCTCTTGTGCCTCTACTCACCGCACCTATGACGTGGTGGTCTAGCTCTCCCTCACCACTGCCTCTCTACTTTTGTCCGTCGCTTCCTCTTCCTCAACAAGCTGATCGAGGAGAGCGAGTAGGTGCGAGAGGCCTATATGGACCAATTAACCATTCCTTTTGCATGCTCTTTGTTTCCGTGATATCATGCTTCGTGAGGGAGATGTCTTACAAGGTATAGCGATACTCATCAAAATCGAAGCGGGCGTCATTTGTAATGGCAAACAGCATCGTGATGGGCGATGTAGTGGCATGCACCCTAGAGTTAGTGAGCTGGATCTACCAAATGTCACTCACCAACTTTAGGGGCGCATGCCACTACGCCGCCCACCACGGCATTGCATGCTATCGCGAGCAATACTTGCTCTGATCCAGATGAGTACCACCATACCTCGTAGGCCACCTCCCTTGCGAAGAGGCAAATGTAGAAAAGGTTAAAGGCGGAGGTGAGGAAGAGTTGAACCATCACGTTGTAGGTGCCAGGTGAGGGCGCAAGGGAGGACGAAGTGAAAGATGATTGAGATAAAGACGCCTATGAAAAGAAAGAGGGACCAAGAGACTACTACGAGCCTAGCGTCAGACTGGTTGATGCACATCCACCTGAGGTAAGACCAGAAGCTCCTGAGCTCATCATCAATGCAAGAGAGGCTGCGTGCGTATGACACTCTACTAGACAGCAACAGTTTGATACTGTTATCGGTGGTCACTTCCATAAAGACGCTTTCTTATGCTATTAACGATGACCTTAGTTTTTTTTAACTTATATTATATATGTTATTATACTAATGATTTATTATGAGTCAACAATATCATATAAGTAGACTCTCGTAGCTAATTCAGACTTAGACGGGAGGGACTCATATATTATATTTTAAAAAATATAAGAGTTAAAATGGATATTAAGATGTCTATTTTAAGATCCATGATCAAAAGACTTAAAAGATGTTCATGACCAAAAATCTCATAAGTTAAAATAAATCTTAACCCAATCTTTAACTTTAACGAGTAAAACATTTCTCAAATGTAGCCATAGTGGACAAAGATATATCACCGGATGTTGATCCATTAAATCTTAGATTAGTGGATCATTCACTGAAATGATTTAATATTTATTTAAATAATATATAAAAGTATTATTATAATATTATTAAAATAATATTATATATAATTAGGAAGGATGCTCTAAACAAAGCAGGAGGAATATTATTAGAAAATTCTTCTCTTATAATAAAATTATAATATCCTTGAGAATTTAAAAATATATTTGTGGATAGTTAAATTTACCATCATTTACTCTCTTTTTTTTTTTGAAAGCTGAAATGGTCTAATTAATGAGACCAACGAGTGGAAAGTGTACTTTTTTTTTTATTTATCACAACTATGCTTTTAAAAAGAGACCAGTTCATAAACGAAAAAGATATAAAAAAATGTTAGATTTTGAGATAGAGATTAATGTACTAAAGAAAAAAATATTATATAGATTAAATGAAATAAAAATAAAAATATCAGATTTGAAATAGAGATTAACACATAAATGAAGGAAAAACACTGCATATAACTAAATAGAAGTTCAAAAGATCAAATCTAAGATTTCCTGAATACAAAGAAAACACTAGATACACCCCATTTAAGAATTTAGATAATTCTTATCAAAAATAAAATTTTCAGAGCATTTTGATCTTATATTATGGAATGATACAGCTTTTAAAATGATGGCTATGAAATTTAATCTTAGACCTTACTATTAACCGGTAAAAGTTATAACTAGTTTGTATCTTCTTTCGTTTTTGGTTGAAGAACACAAACTAAAATCTCAACTATAACCTTACTTTACAAACCTTCTATAGTTTGGTGCAAATAAGTAATTTCTTTATATCAAACTCATTTATCAAAAGTTAAAAGTTTGAATCATCATCTAATATATATATATTTTCTAAATATGTCAATTAATTTGATCGAGAAAGAACTTGATAATTTGTTATAAGATCTTGAGCTCGAACTCCACTTTCATCACTTATCCTTTGTTAAAAAAATAAAAAAATTATAGTCATAAATTTAACACAATATGAATGATTAGGGTTTATAATGTGAAATATTTTTAATATAAAAATTTAAAGACTTAATATTTCTTTAGAAATTTAAAGTGAAATTACGATAGTTAAGATATTTTAAAATACCACCAAAGGATTTTTTTTTATAGTCAATCTTGTTTTGTGTTTAGTGGAGGGATACTATAATAAAATTTTTAGTAGTTATTTATTATTTCTAAACAATAAAAAATTTAGATGTTTACTAAAATCTTAATATTTCTTTTATGCTAGTCTAAAGACGAGAAAATCCAATTTGTTTATTATACAAGAAAAAAATTAAATAGAAGAAATATCTTTCTTAAGGTAACTCAAATTCAAACTCAAAATATTTATATATCCTCTCACATCTTTAAATCTACCAGAAGAATATCCCAAGGGCATTCACAATGTTTTTCTTTATATTTCTCACTCACGAAATCTAGAGATTGATGATGTATTTGTAGGAATACATTTTAATTCACTAAAAACTCTGTTTCCTACTTAATATATAGCCTTAATTATAATCATCTAATCAAAACCCCTTCAAATAACATCCATCGGTTCATCTTGAATTATAACTACGACGAGTTGTCCTTCGAACTCATGCTTAAGAAAGATTACGAGGTTCTTCAAGACGGAATCATCCGTCATCGAGGACAAAAGAAAACAAACGCTATGTGTTGTGTGGTGATCATCAATGCTTTACACAAAGATATTAGATATTAGATGCCGGTGTAGAGCATCCAATTAAAGGGAGGGGTTTACTGTTGCATATGTCATTGCAATCAAATCATGTTTGAAGTTGATTAATGTTTTGTTTACTTATATCCAATCGAATGATTCTTTTGACTAACCATTAACCCCCTTCATACTCGTAGGAGGTGGTGGCCAACCCAGCGGCACAATTTCCCCACGAGAATACCATCCACCCGTTCGGTCCGGTTTCTCTTGGGGTCCACTCGGCATTGGACCTTCCGTCGCTTCCATGGCGGGAATACTGCGAGTCTCGCGCATGCGTCGGTAGACACGTCACGTGGGATTCCACTGTCCCGTGACACGACCCTATATCCTCGTCCCGCATTTCTTTTAATTATCTTTTCTTTTCTTATCCACATGATGCCCATCAGACGGCTAGAATTCCTTGTTAAATCTCGTGCGGCGAGCGACCACGTCAAGCTATTTGAGGGCCTCATTCGTTGTCCGTGTCACGAAGCCTCCGTACTGACGCTCCGTGCGAGGGAGATCACTTGACGTGGCACCGTTAAGACCCTCTGATCCGTGGTGCGCGCTTGGTCCCGTGTGCCGCGATCGCACCGGAATATCCTATATCATCGGCACAGCTGCTTCCCACCCCAGTGCAAGAAGGACGCAAGAGAGAGAGAGAGAGAGAGAGAGAGAGGCTCTAGCGGTTGCTCCCCCAAACGCCCCTGCAGCGAAGCGAAGACCGTGAAGCGCTGTCGCTTTACATGGACGGATCTGGAGGAGCGGCGGCGGTGGAGGGGGACCTGGAGGCGGCGGAGAAGCTGATCATGCGGTGGGACTCCACGGCGTCTTCCGCCGGGGACGAGCGGATGCTCTTCGATGGTGGGGACCGCTCGGACGCCGAAAGGTTCCTCCGTGCCGTCGACGAGATCCGCCGTTCGATCAGGGAACCGATCGCCACCGGTAGCCCCCGGCGGTCGTCCTCATCCGCGTTCCACTCCTCCTCGGAGAACGCGATCCAGATCGCCATGGCCCGACTCGAGGACGAGTTCCGCAACCTGCTTCTGACCCGGCCTAATGAGATCGAAGTCGATGAGCTCGTCGATCTGAGCACGCTATCCATGAAGAGCTCCGCGTCCGGGGAGGGATCCGGTGATCTGTCAGATGCCGAGGGAGGCGGCGGTGTCGACGGCGGGGAGGAGCATGCCTTCTTGTCTGAGACGGTGGAGGGAAGCAGCAGCAGTAGCAGAATCAGGCGGAGCAGCATGCGGTCGACGAGGAGCATCCGGGAGATCGATCTGCTGCCGTCTGACGCGGTCGATGACCTCCGGAGTATCGCCGAGCGGATGATCGCCGCCGGGTACGGCCGGGAGTGTGTCCAGGTGTACGCCGGCGCCCGGAAGGCGGCAGTGGACGTGTGCCTACGCCAGCTCGGGGTGGAGAAGCATAGCATCGGCGAGGTCCAGCGTCTCGAGTGGGACGCCCTGGAGGCTAAGATCCGGCGCTGGATCCGCGCCGCCAAGATCTGCGTCCGCATCGTGTTTTCCAGCGAGCGCCGTCTTTGCGAGCGTGTCTTTGACGGCCTCGGCATCACTGACGATGCCCCTTTCACTGAGACAGTCAGGGGCGCGGCCATCCAGCTCTTTGGATTCGCCGAGGCCATCAGCATCGGCCGCCGGTCACCAGAGAAGCTCTTCAAGATCCTCGACCTCCATGACACCATCTCCGA